GAGCCTCTGCATGGCCGAGTCATCATTGTATCCTCTGAGGTTCTTGCTCTCTAGCTGCATCATGCACTTATCTTTCCCACTTCTCTGGAGGACTTAATTCTCTTTAAAAATTATATAATTGCATTTTCAGCATAATTAGGTACCTAATTACATGGCTAAATGTCCTCAACCAGGCTCCATGTGTAAATAATGGTGATTTAGTTGGCCATGCTTTGCTATTGGGTTTGTAGGAGGCTCATCTGTCCACACACAGGGTGTAGAAACTGTTTTTCTCCTTCCCTCATGGAGTCTGACAGGCAAGAGTGGCACAGTCCAAGTCCAGAGTGAGCAGAACAGTGGGGGCAGGAGGAAAGGGACAAGACTGCTGCAGTCTCTGCTCAGTCTCCAGCGAGCCTCTTGGATGAGGGCTAAGCTCCCATAGCCCAGGCAGGCATTGGGGCTCCCACAAAAGGCACACCAGGGAAGGAGAGGAGGGTGTGACCCAGAGACATTTGGACCCATCATGTGTGAGTGAGAAGGGTGAGGCTGCAGTGTGAAGGACCCTGGCCCGAAGGAGAGGCATGGGTCCTGGAAGCAGGGTGCCCTTTCTGCTGTCCCTAGAAAGCTCCTCGTCATCCTACACCTGGGAGGAGCCCCTCAGAGAATGGTCAGTGCTTCAGGAAAGGCCCTGTAACCATGGGAGAGAACCTGCAGCGGTGGTCAGGCTCACAAGAGAAGATGCTGATGAGGCAGGTGGGAATTTATACAAGTTCATGCCAGTCTTGCTGTCTGTGACACCGAAATGGGCTATGGCATGGACACACCCAATCATAACTTCTGTACATGACAAAATTCCATCAATAACACCATGCTAAAGTGTCTTTCAGGGTAAGCCTCCAGAATCTGCTCAAGTATGGTTTGGAATCAGCTCTCCAAGAATGGACATGGGCAGAATAAGGCAGCTCCTCTAGTCAGTGAACTTTTGATGTCACAAGTTCCAAACCCCTTCACTGAACATAACAACTGCCCCCCAAAAGAAGCATGGCTGCATTGGAGAGGCATGATGCACATTTATGCCCTCACGAAAGAACCCTAAAACTTGCCTTTTGCCATCCAGTCACCAACCAGCTTCTCCTCTCTCCCTCCTTAGAAGTTCCCCACTGCCAACTGACTAGGGAGGCAGATTTGAGATCTTTTTAGCTCCTGGTCTCCTTGCAAGCTGAATGCAACAGAACCTTTTCTTTCTCCAAAAACCCCAGTGCTGCAGCACTGTCTCTATATGTGCAAGGCAGTGAGCTCAGTATCAGTGCTACTGTCTCTCATCCTAAATTTATGTTTGTAAAGTACATCCAGGAAGGCAGGGTGCATGAGGGTGTGAATACAGGAAACCTTTCCCAGGGTAGGATAAAGATGAGAATAAATGCACATCAACATGTGACTCTTTACAAAATTATCTTACAAGTGCTTCAAGGCACAGGGAGAGAGAGTGGGTGTTGTACAGACATTTGGAAAGAGTCCTGGCTCCCCTGTGTCCCAGGTGCACACAGCCTGTCTGTCTGCACGCCCTCTTCTGCAGAGGACAATGGTGGTAATACACAGGGCACATCCAGGATGGCTCCCAGGGCACTGCCCCATATGGGAACACTCTTCCTAGTATCCGCATGTATTTACAATTGGCTCCTCCACATGCATGTGCAGTCATGTGCGCAAGAACACACTTGCATGCTCACAAGGCCTCACAAGCCTGCACTGTGCTGTGGAGAGTGGGAGTGGCCAAGAGACTCAGGGACCAGTTCCTGTGACTGAGGATGGCAGGGTGAGCTCCCTTCTCTTCTGGAACAGTCAGACTCCCGAGTGCTTGCTACCCACTGGGCTGTCAGCTCTGCTCTGTCCTCCAGATCCTGTCGTCCCTGCACATCCCATCCTCCACTCTTGGTTTAGCTGATGAAAACACTCCATGGCACATCTCAATCCATCACTCCGGCAAGCTCCTGCTTCATCTTCCCATCCCTCTGCTCAGGTCTTGTGATTTATACTTGCCCGACATTAATCTTTTAAGAGCACAGAAGCCATAAACACATACATAACTCTACCTCTTGTCAGCTGAAATTCCTTGGCACAAATCAACTGTCATTTAAATTAATGTTTCTTTCATAAAAAGTGATAAATGCCCCTGAGACTAATCAAAGAAAAGTCAACAAATTTAGAGCTAGTTTCATTTCAGAAATGTTTAGGTCACATAGCTGAAGTCCAGCCATGGGTTGACTTGTGACCAGCAGGTGAGGGTGAATCTCACAGTCCTCTGTGGAGCAGCCAATGCAGACACAGACCGGGTGCTGTGCTCACTGCTACTTGTAGGGGTCTTGGCACTTCAGAATCAGGCCTGAGACTTACTGCACCATCTCTGGAGAGGAAGAGTCAGTACCACACAAGCGGCTCTTCAGACAGTTGTGTGAATTTCTTTAGTAAAGGCAAGCGATTGCTCATGCAAACCAAATAATGGAGGGAAAAGAGTTAAAGAACATCAGGCAGGTATAGGATTAAATTTCTTTGACCTTCAGGATTATAGGCTCGCCGATAGGTCAGAAAGTATAAAAGAGTACAGATTTTAAATACCGGTAACTTTCATAGTATGACAGTTTTGTGTTGAAAGCTGAAATTTTTATTTCATACCTTAGAAATAACTGCTTTTAGATTTTGTTTTGAGAAATATAAAAGCTGAGATTTGAGGAGAAAAAGGGGAAAGAAAATGAATGGCTAAATCCAGTATGTGCCATAAGCTTCTTTTTCTTTTCCATGTCTTATCACTTCTTCCACCATCACTACTGTGTTCAGCATCATGAATACATTTTACTATTCAGCTCTTGCAGGGAGTGATGGACAATGAAGGGTCATGAAGACCAGGTGAAAGAAACTGAGTCTTTTCAGGTAGGCAATGAGAAGATGCTACAAGTGAGAGATTACAGAGAAAAGCATTCTGTAGAAATGTGGTAGTTGAACAGGGTTGGGGAAGAGGGGCAGACACAGTTTAGAAGAGCACTTGGGAGCTACTGAGAGAAAACCAGGAGAGGTAGGGCAGGGATAAGACTTTAGGCATGAGGATGGGCTGCAGGAAAGCAGACCTGATAAGGACACCAGGGTCTGAGGGCTTGAGGTTCCCACAGGAGTGTGATTAGAACTTAATAAGGGCAACGTCTGGGTGGTGAGAGAGGCAGAAGTGACATGAATAACTTCTTAGTCTACGTTTCCATGTAACCAGTTATTGGATTACTTTCAAAATTACATGATTTCAAGTATTAAAAATGAATATGTGTCTCATATTTTTCAAACTGACATTAAAAGCCAGGTTTCTAGGGCTGAAGGTATAGCTCAAGTGGTATAGCCACATTTAAAGTCCAGGGTTCATTCCCACAAGAACAAAAACAAAACAAAAACAAAAACACCCTTGCCTAGACCCCATCCTATGAGGGTTCCTGGGTAAAGCAGGACAGAAGTTAAATTTGAATTTCAAATAAACAAAACATGTTTTGATATGAGTGTGTCCCACTACTACATGACAGGTCCACAGATGGTTCAGCCCTTTGAATTCACCAGATGTGCCTGGGGTTTAACAGTCACAGGTGCTTGGAAGCTAAGCGAACTTCTAAAGGCAGAGTGTGCTGTGGTCAAACGGTGCATCGGGGTTGGTGATAAACCCCACAGTCAGAAACCGAGGGCAGCCTGGGCTTCTGGCGTCAGCAAACCTGGCTTCCTCCCTGACCACACCTCACACCTCAGTAGATCGATCTGTGTCTTAACTGTAAAGTGGAAACAGTGGTACCTGCCTCACAAGGAACTCTGACAAAGCTCAGAGGGGACAGAAGATCCCGTGACCCTCTGGGAGGCACAAACTCCCACTGCCACAGGGAACTGGAGGCTCCTCCAGCGCCTGTCTCTCACCAGTCCTGTCATAAGCCTTTATCTTAGTTTGTTCTCAGTCAAGGCCCGTGGCCAGCAGCCACCAAAGTCTGCCTGCCTTGGTATGTTCAAAGAGTAAAGGACTTTCCTGGGTCTTCCTGTCCCCTATTTCCTGGTCACTGGGCTCCAGGGAAGGATCTGAGAAAGTAACCAGTGAGGTGAGCGGCTGACCCACACTCACTTTATCAGCACCAGCTGCCCAGCGTAGGGCTCTCAGGCCCCCTGTAGCTACCTGATAAGAGGCTCAGTTGCCTCCACAGGGCTATCGGAGACAGCCTGGGTGGAAGAGCCACATCCATCAGATTGAAAAAGGGAGGGAAAAGGGCCTCTGGGAAATACCGTGCCGTCACACAGCCATGAGAACTGCCTGTCGGTGAGTCCAAGCTCTGGGTCCTGTAAGCAAGCAGTGATCACACTCTCACCCCGGAGCACACAGAAAGCTGCCTCTTCATGGAGCCAGCTCAGCAAATAACAGTGCCCTTCACCATGCCAGGCTGTGGTGAGCACAGAGGGGAAAGGAAATGTGAGTCCTCTTTGGTTAGCATAGCATGAATGGCTCCAAGGACAGAAGATGCTCAGGTGGCCAGGCGGCCAGGGCTGACGATCCAAAGCCCAGGAGTCAGGAGCCTGTCCCTGCACTGCTCACTTGGAACTCATCTTGGGGTTGTGCTATGTGAGGACAGGGGGTGAGCAGGGGCAGCCTGGCCGACAGGTGACTCGCCGCCCTCAAGTTCCACGGATTTGCACCTCTGGAATGGGTGGTGCAAGTCCTGACGAGGCAGAATCCCGGCGATGAACCTGAGTTATGTGAGTTGCTCTCTTCACCTCTCTGGTTTGTAGGGAAGGAGCCAGCCTTTCTGGGCTGTGCCTTCATCGCGCCTCTGAAAACTGTGGGTGGCAGGTGGCAGCTTGCACCATGAACAGTGCTCCACACACGTCCAGGAGGCTGCCGTGTGTGTCCACGCCCTAAATGCTCATCTCCTTTCTGCCCCTGGGCCAGCTCTCTACCCTGAGAGGAGGGGGCTACGGCTCCATGCTCTGTGCTGAGCTGGTGTCACACCCACCTGGCGCTGCAGGCGAGGGTCCAGGCACGTCTTCCTAGCCCTGCAAGAGGCTTGCTTGCACGTCTCAGCTGAGCTTCTCACTGCTTCCTGAGTTCCTGCTCGCTCTGTAGGCTGCAGGAACTGGAGACCTCAGACCCACACTCATTCCTGGCAAAGTGACACAGCCCTCAGGGATGCAAGAAAGCTTCACCCAAAGGTGCAACCAGAAACTTCAGGCAGGCTCTGAAAGCTGGCCTGTGTGTGGGTCTGCGTGTGTGCCCACACGTGCACACTGGGCGCTTGGAGAAGTCCCTCCTGGCTCCCCCTGCTCTCTGTCACTCCTCCTTCCCAGCTCCCACCACGTGTGACAGCTCTTCCAAGGCTCTGCTTTGAGCTCCTTGCTAGAGCATCAGCTGAGATGATGAGGGGCCCTGCTCTGAGAGTCACGAGTCTTCCAGCTGGGGCTAGAAGCTCCCAGACTCAGATGGTTGGTGGAATCCAGACAGTACAAAGGTGCTAAGAGACAGTACAAAGGTGCTAAGAGACGGCCCGTTCACTGGCTTTCTGCTGCTCACTTTTTCCTCTTTGCTCACTCCATCCCCAGCCACACTGGCCTCCCTTTGGCTATTTCTAGATCAGCCTACCTCCGGGGCTTTGCCCTTGCTGCCCCTTGCCTGTTCTGGTCCTGTCAGATGCCCCTTGTCTGCTGCTCTTACTTCCTTCAGATCTTTCTCAAACATCTCCAAAACAAAACAAACAAACAACAAACAAACATCTCCCAGCGAAGCCTTCTCTGGCCACATTCTTTAAAATCCCCCATCTCCCTTTCTGGCCTCATTGCCTCTGCAACCCTTCCCATTCAGATATACTGAGCATCCTGTCCATGGGTCTTGTGTCCATCTGTCCTGCCTCACTAGAATGTAAGCTCTCCTATGGGATTACTGCTGGGTTGTTCACTGTCACAGCCCTATGGTCTGACACCCAGCTGGTGTTTGATACTCATGTGTGGAAAATGACTCCTCGGCCACAGCTACCGCGGGTGGCAGAGACAAAGAATGAAACCAAATGAAAACCTGAAGAACCCACCTGCTCTTAGTTCCTGAGCAAACCCACTAGAATTAACCTGCTTACCCTCTTCACTCATTTTTAGTTAATTGCTTTTCTAGATATAACCTGCTCTTAGTTACTTGCTCTTAGTTGACTTGAAAAATAGTCAATTTGAGAAGTGGATAACACCTCCAACACGTGGGTCAGGATGGTAACAGCCTTTCATGCTTGAGAACATACACACAGACATCCAACTACACCACTGCCTAACCTCCAGTTATCTTTTCCACACCTCTGCCCATAAATAGCTCCAAACCCTGTCCCCAGGGAGGCCGATGTGAGACCTGCTCCCACCTCTACAAGTGGCCACCTTGTGACCTCTCTTTTGCCAAACTTATTTCACTGATTGGCATCCTACATAACAGTCAAAACGGACCCAACGTGCCTGGCTCAGAGACAAGAGCACAGCTCAGGGGGCTTTATTTTGAAATCAGCCAAATGTGGACACATCCAACCCCGAGTCTCCATATCCAAATCTGGTGATGACTTCTGAGGAGGGAGAGGATGCAGTCAGGAAAGGTACAAGGTACCTGGCCCGACAGCTGCCGTTAAGGAAGGTCACCACCTTGGCCCCCACAGTGGAGAGAATGACGTTTCCTGAGCACAGGCACAGGTGGCTAAGGCCAGGCTGTAAGTTCAGGTGAGCCTTCTGATGTGCTCTGAAGTTGCTCTAGATCCCCTTCCTGCACCTGCCTGGGGGAAGTGAGAAACTTCTAAAAGGCAGTGAGTGGCAGAACCTCGCGCACCTGTATCCATGGTGGGTGGGGTGAGGCTGATGAAGGCACAAGGGTGGGGAAGGACACAGGGGCTCCTCCCCCGGGCAGCTGGGCCAGTGGCAGGTCAGGCAGTGAGAACCAAGGTGCTCGCCGAGGGCCTCGGAACAGCTTCTGGGGTCTGTCCGCTTGGCTGCTCTAAGTCCTGTTGGCTGACTGAATCTCTTGCCTTCCAGGTTAACATCCACTGAGTGCCCTGTCCTGGGTCTGGTCCTGTGGGGCGGAGGGGCTAGGCTTCATCTTTAATCCAGGTCGATCTCATGCAAAGCCTATGGTCCTGACAGAACAGTTTTGGGTCCCTCTGCCTTTTACAATCCTAGCTCACCTGAAACCTTTGAACACCTTGTGTGAGGACACAGGCATCAGCTGGGAAAAGAGGAGAAACCATCACCCTAAGGCCATGATCTCTGATCAGTGAGTGGTGAGGCCAATGTCACGTTTGCATGTGGGTGGCTCTGAATGGGCTCTGGCCAGTGGTACTGGTTGGCTTGGCTCTGTCACAAAGGGATTCTCTAGGAAAGTCTGAGCACTGGAGGATTTGGGTCCAGAAAGGCCTGTCCATCCAGTGGCTACTCTGAGGGCTTGGTCCAGGGTGCCTGGAGGAGATCTGGGCAGCATCCTGCTGCAGGCTGAGGGAGCAGCGGGAGCTCATGTTCGGCAGGAGCCACGGGGGAGCCTGGCTGTCCATGGGTGGGGGCTCATTAAACCCTGGGGAAGGCCCCACATGCAGGGAACTCTTAGGAAAACCATCTTTAGGAACCACCAGGTTCCCTGTGGCAGGAGGCAGTGCAGTGAAAGGCAGCCTTTCCATCCCAGAGAGTCATCCTCTGTGCTGTAACTCGGGATAAGGAGAAATGACCAGGACTCTGGTAAGGGCCATGCCTCCAACATGGTGAAAACTCAGCAATTGGTTTTATTGAAAACACCACCCTGGAAACAGAGTTAACCAGAGACCCAAAGCCTCCAAGGATATAATAATAACAAGAACAGCTCGGAAGTGCTCATGGGTGGGGAACGCAGGCACTCAGGCAATCTGCATGAAGGGACAGTGTGGATTTCACCACCTTTACCGCAGTGTCCTCAAAGATGTATCTGACTTCCTGTAGCATTGTTTGTCTTCTCAGTGAGTGACAAACAGCATTTCAAATGAATTGCTTAAAAAATGGCATGTTCCAAGTGGGTTTTCAGAGGCTCCAGGATTCTTTCATAGGAAATGACCTCAGGTAATTACTAAAGCCCGATAGAAATAAATGCACTTAGCCTATTTGAATCAACTTTTGTCCACTCCCGTGAATGAACACTTTGCTCTCAAATTCCTCATTTCCTGAACATATGAGGCTGGTGTCATACAGGGGTTCAGAGATGGCCCTGGGACTGGGCCAACTGAGTTCACAGCACTCTCAGTGATGTCGGGTGCCCTGGAGGGGGAGGTACCACAGTATCCACCCCAACTCACAGCATGTGACCGTGGCCAGCAACAGATGCTGCTCAGCACTTGCTCAGGCCACCCCTGAAGTAGAAAGTGTTCTGTGAGTCGATGCTATTCTTTCATTTTTACATCCTTGAAATTTGTCCAGACTGAAGTCACTCGTCAGTCGGAGTATTCTCAATGATCAACATTGATCATTGGCAATTTGTTTCTTCAAGCACAAGATTTTAATTCAACAAGCTAAGACTACATCTGGTAAAGTAGAGATTAACTATAATGTAATATGTGCTATATGAGGGAAGTTTGCAACTTGGGAGTTATTCTTAAATATCTAGTTGTCTATTTAACTATTGCATCATAGGCAATTTGATCCAAAAGCTGAATGTGTGTGATATTCTCACCAGGAGAGCTGTGTGTCATTTATTTCTACCCTGGTGTACACCTCACTGCCCTGAAAAACCAACCATGCCTCGTGGTGGGGATCATGTGTGATGTCCCCTTCCCCTTCCCTCAATTCCGAGGATCATGATTAGGTGGGTCCACCATTACCCTGCATGTTTCCAAAGATGGGATGAGGGATGGATGAGGTGATTAGTAAACATTTGTGGGCGAATTGCTTTCTTAACAGAATTTTCCATTCTGTTTCTTTATACTTTTCCAGATTTTCTCCCTGGAGTCTGAGTCTAGGGTTTCTGAGGTCTGATAAGAACTTTTCTAATGAAATTAATTGGTAAAGTGATACACAGCTATATGTACATTGCAGTCTGGCTGCAAGAGAACATTTAAACACAACAAGAGCGTTTTACATGGTGTCATAGAAATGGCTATGTGGGAGCCCAAGGCACCACCATTGGCTGTGTCAGCTGACTGCTCTGGCTCTGGGAGGCACCAGGCCATGTTTTCATCCTTTCTCCAGAAGGAGCCACCAAGGGTGTGGCCACCAGCCCTCTGCCTATTCAACTGGATTAGAAGAGCTTTGTCTCTTTTATATTTCTGGACTTCATCTATGAAGTAATTTGTAGATTTGACAAGGCTGCCAAAGAATAATCAAAAATAAAAATGACCGCACCTCAGATGTTTAGTTTTGACTTTATTTTTTTCTGCGTTCCTTCCAAGTGCGGACCTCGGGTGAGCTGCCACATCTTTGAAGGCCTGAGGACACAGAGTCTACATTCCAAAGAGATTAGCTCTGTTTCAGGTATCTCGGCCAAGTATGGCATTCGGCCTGTGTACTGAGGGATCTCTGACTGATGTTTAGGCTTGCTTTGTTCTCTGTCTTTCATGGGTCTTGCCTCTGAAATTGTGCTGAAGACCCTTTGACAGAAGTTCCATGTCCCCCTGCATCTTCTGGGTAACACCTTAGTCTCAGCAGGGACTCATGGGATTGAAATCCAGGTGCATCATGGGACTGTACTGAAGTGCCCAGGCCTGGATGCACCACAGGTGGAGAGAAGGCCAAAGACTCACGGCTCATGTAACCTGCTGCCAAGAGGTCCTTGCAGCCTTGGGACTTATTAGAAAAACCTGGGTCATGTGATGGGCTGGGAACAAAGAAGGGTGTATGCAGGAGCCACATCCGAAGTCTGACCCAGAAATTAGAGACTGGTGCAGGGTACAGAGGCACCACGACCTGCCAGGCAAAGGCTGACTTGGTGCCTTCGATGTGTTCCGTGGCAGAGGGCACGGCAGAGGCGATGCTGAACCAAACCGAACACAACCAAACTACCTTGT